GCGTGGTGGTGGTTGCAGGTTAGGTTAGGCGTGGTGGGTGGTGCAGGTTAGGCGTGTGGTGGTGGTTAGGCGTGTGGTGGTGGTGCAGGTTAGGTTAGGTTAGGCGTGTGGTGGTGGTTAGGTTAGGTTAGGTTAGGTTAGGTTAGGCGTGTGGTGCAGGTTAGGTTAGGCGTGTGGTGGTGGTGCAGGTTACTGACCGCATGATTACGCCTCACCCTGACAGTGTTTCTTAACGTAGCTGACGAGATAACAGCCACTCCGATAACAATAATACATGGACGTTATCTGGTCACGACCTTCAACTGATCCTCCGGCTTCGTATCTGTACCGTACAATAATGTGTGCACCTGCTCCTTCCACGTGTGTGTGTGTGTGTCTCCATAATATATACGCAGCAAGATAATAATATATTTTTAACAATACTTCAAGTCTGTGAGCCGAGACTTATCAAACACCGATACCTAAAGATTATAATTCTTGATAAAATTTGTGATATATGTAACCTTGCACTGGTTACTCCATGTGGTGAGGTGGTGGTAGTGTGGTGAGGAGGAAGTGGTTAATGTACTGGAGGTGTGGTGCCACAAGTGTTGATTGCACATTATAACATGTACGTTACACACTTTAATTATGCCACACACACACACACACATACACACAGCTGAGTATAAAATCACTCCATTAAGGTCAGCAGCTGTGAAATGCAACTCGCCTTAGTTTCCTCACCAGCCACGTCACACTCAACCATCGTTATCAACAATCAGCTGACCACATATTCCAGTGGCTGTATCTGTTGTTGTTTTACTCTCTTCATCACATGACGCATTACGTTCATCAAGTTCCGACAGATGGATTATATGGTTGTGTGGATGACGTGGATTATTGGTTTGTTATGCAGTGATTGGCCTAGACCTTGATGCTGGGGAGGACGTGTACAGGGTCACCGCCTCCACCTGTAGTGTCAACTTGTCCTTAAATCAGAGGAGATATTAAGGTACCGCGCGCTAAGTCATGTCCTTATCTGCCTGGTCCCCGGCCTGTCCCGAGAATTCCTGGACGGGTAGATTGGAGGGTATTCTTCGTCTGGTGACCTGGCGTGCTGAGCTCTTAAACACACAGCTGTACCTGTAAGTGGTGGTGCAGGTGTGTGGCGCCACAGGTGTTAGTGTAGGTGATATCATGATGGGCAAATCGTACCTGTAATTTATCCAGTAACCTCATTTTATCACCTGTTATCTCCCCCACATGGATAATAATGATGCATGAAATCAGACTGAAAAAATGTCCATACTCTCGACATATCACCGTGTGCCAGGACCCCGAAGCCATTAATCTAGAGGAGTGTTTTACATAGTTGTGAAAGCTTCCATGTAGGTAACAGATTATGTCCTGACGAGGATATTGATAACATCTAGTTTATTATATCATTAGTTGTTAGCGAGGGAGTAAGTAGGCCAGGCAGGTGCGGCCAACACCACACATCTCACCACTCTGCCCACTACTGTACCTCCTTCACCGCCTCCTCTCGGTTGACAAGTGAGGGGGGGGAGAGGGGCGACATTTTTGGGGAAAATTAGAAAGAGGCAGACAGGCCACCACATCACCGGGGAGAATAATTACTGGGAGGAAAGCGACCGTTCAGGTTGTTAACACGTCTCTTGGTAACACTGCACCAACCTACAGTATTTGTCACCCGCCATGAATATTTACCGTCCCTGTGTGTCTGTCCCGGTAACCTGTAAACTCGATAACTCAAACAAATAGAAATAGATTTTGTCGACACTGTATGTAAAGTTTATTTGACAACATCTTAGAAGAGTTTAATATTTAGTATTGTTTTCCCTTTACATTTTGTTTGTTTAGGCTCGTAATGTTTACACGACCACCTGAGAGCCTCCTCAGAGGCCGCCATGTTTACACTAGTTTAACATATGTTCCTGGAGTTAGAGAATAGAACCCCTTAAGATGGTTATTCCGAGAGGTGTTGATGGAGTAGTTTGGATTTGGTAACATCAGAAATGAATAATTAAGTGATATGGATGGTGTGGAGTATCCAGTGGGTGAGAGGGGAGTGAAAGGGAGGTAGGGGTAGAACTATTGAATAATACAAGTTAAAGGAGGGAGTGAGAGAATACCTGGATGAGACAAGTGCGCGTGCGTGCTTGCGCCGATGTCCGTTATAAGTTATATATGCAGTTGTTCATGGGTCATGGTGGTTCATAATAGTTAGGAGGCGCGGTAAAGGCAGGCACACACACACACACACACACACACACAGGTAAATCTTCTGTCCAACTAAGGTCAACATTGAGGTAGACGAGAGGAGCTTGTTTCTCTCCCCCACTTTCGCCCCTCCCTCTACTTCCTCCCTCATTTCCCCATCTTTACCTCTCTTCCCCCCGTCCCTGCCCGTCCTAGTGCAGATGACAGACAAACCGACGTGTGTCACAGGTAGTTGAAACATGGAGCGCCACCTCGGCCCCCTCCCCCTCCCCTTCCTTTAAGTGTGTGGGGGGTCCACCTCCCGCCCACACCGCCCACACCGCCCTCCCGCCCCGCTACATTATAATAAAAGGTGGTGGAGGTGCTCCAGTGCCTGTGAACTGTCAGCGGCCTGTTAACTCTAGTGATATACGGAACGACCTTGTGAATTGTGACCTAACTTGTGAACGTATTTTAAAACTTTAACTTTGTGTGTGTGTGTTCTCTGTTAGTAGAGATTGTAGTTGTAGAGGATGTATGTATTTGTAGAAGCTGTAGTTGTAAGCGTTTGTAAAATGTTGTGTTGTAACTAGTGCAGGGTTCACACACTCCCAGGCTGGCGCGCGTCACAGTATAATGGTACACGGGACTCAGCACCAGCTCAGTGATACAGACTTCTACAGTAAGTGAGTTAACCCCTTAAATGTATAGCTACGGGGTTTCTCTTGTTAGGACCTTACACGTTAGAGGGGTCGCGTGGTTGGGGTAGTGACATTACGTGATTGAGTAGTTTAATGGGTTTAAGAGTTAGAAAATTATCTGCACTATGAACTCCTTAATTGGCTTCAGCAGTCGTTAAGTTTTGTTTTTGTGATCATCAGGTGTCCAGCGTGGTGATGTGCGTGTGTGTGGCTGTCATGTTAATTAAGGGGATTAAATCGGTTTCTATAAATGTAATTAACATAGAAAAACTTGACCTGACCTAACCTAACCTTTTATCCCATCTTGTATTGCCATATTGCCTCTCTCTCTCTCTCTCTCTCTCTCTCTCTCTCTGTGTGTCGCTATCTTGTTCCTCTTCCCTCAGGTGTCATACTACAAGGGAGGAAGTGTAGGTACATCACCTCCCTTGTGTGTGAGAAAGTTGTGTATACATGTGTCTTGCTTATCACCTGTGTCATCTCACGAACTATTAAGGTGTCTTGCCTCCCCCACCCCTCCAGGCTCCACACTTCAACACCTGTCACAGATGTAGTCACCCTTCCTCCCCCCCCCCACTTCCCTTCCCCTACACCTTCTCATAACCTCTTCGCCTCTCCCCGCCTCACCCCTCGCCCCTCCGCTTTTCTCTCCAGCCGTGTATATGGGAGTCACTCTTATCATTAGTATCCATTTCTTCTGTGTGTGTTTCAGTTATCTTTCTCTTCCTTTCGTCTCTCCTCCCTGTGTGTGTTTCAGTTATCTTTCTCTTCCTTTCGTCTCTCCTCCCAACTTGTACATCGTGTCCGCGCGCCTGGGAGTTGACCACGAATCCAGGATGACTCGCAGGAATATCAATGGGTGTGTGAGTCGACCTCTGTTGTTATATCACCACAGGATAACATTTGGGTTCAGCAGACTGTTGTGGCGTAACGAGGACTTTGACCACCCAACTCGTCTTAAGGGCCACGAAATTTGTCTTGATCATAACACCTGCCTACTAACTAATAGGTAGGGGGGGGGACTGTCTTGGCTGATAACCCTGGCTGTGTCGCCGTCAACAGTACACACAAAGGGCTGGGTGTCGGGAAGGTTCTCATGTGCCATCTTTAAGTCCTGTCAATACACTTCTGCAGTAATAATTTTGGGCAGGGCGGTGAAGGTGAGAGGTGAGTGACGTGCGGGGCCAGTGACACCCGCTAGTAACACCTGAGTGACACCTCTGACACCACGACTACCAACCTGACGCCATCACTACCAGACTGACGCCATCACTACCAGTCTGACACTACCACCACTACCATCCTGACACTACCAGGATGGCATTTAGTGATGGGTGTTTACACTTCCTTCAACTGCTGTTTCTCATTTACTATTTTACAATTAACCAAATATTCACAATATTTGTGAATGTACAAATTACTTTTTTATTTTCGTGGTTTAATATTAAGCTTTGTTTGTGAATAAACATTAAAATAGAATAGTTGTGTCGCATCAGTTTGGAATTTGTGTATACCAATTGTTGCTCAGTTTAAGGTGGTAATGACCAGGTTGTGGAGTGATCAAGACACATATATACACACTCACACATACATTAGTGTCCCGTGTTATCTCGGACGGGAGGAAAGGTCACACCAACACGGGAGATGAAACATTGATGGGAAGTAAGAGACCTAAGGTGAGGAGAGGGGGGGGGGGGACAGAGGAAGGAAAATTACCGTATTAGTGAGGGAAACAAGAGGCAGTGTGTTGAGGTTCAGTATACACCAGGCGACTTAAGTGTTGATCAGGTGTACAGTATGAGAAACAACACCCCGTACACCGCCATAGAAATATACAGTGTAGACTGGTAGAGAGTGACGCGCCGGTAGGTAAGAGTGGGTGGTGTGACTTGTCATCAATAAATCTGACGGGCTTGACCTGGTTGTTGTCTATATTATTTAAACTAGAAGATGGACCACCGACTCGTAATGCAAGTCGAGTTTATTTACAGTTTGGTTTTGTGTTTTACTTATGATTTAAAGAAAATGAAGAGAAACAATTTTAACGTGTGTTTATATAGATGTAAACAAGCCTAAGGTGTTTGTGTTTGTTTGCAGGTATTGGTGCTGATGTGTGCGGGAGCTGGTGACGGTGTACCTGTGTCCCGTTGTTTGCAGGCTCCACCACCCAGTAAGGTAATTAAGCAAATGTCTTCATGGTCACGCATTAATGTTCACACGCCCGCGAAATTACGGCTTAGGATTGTGTGTGTTTTAGTGTATGTAAGCCCACCACACACACACACACACACACACACACACACACACACACACACATACTGTATATAATCATGTACTTTTATTCACACACGTGTTTGTACAAGTCTCTAGTCTTATCAAAATCTGGACAATAAAATATATCACACTCGCGAAACAATACCTTGGCCATAGTGTACTTTTCTTACCTTTATTGTATTGTTATTATCACAAGTATAACCATAATTGCGTTTAGTGGCCGTGTTAAGTTGTATGTTTTGTCAGAAGTACAATACAAGCTTTCGGTTCTGTCGAGAGCAATACTGAAGAAAAAAAAAATGGTCTGTCAGAGTTGAAAAGATGTGGCAGTCTTGTTGTCTCCCAGGCGGACAGTTGATGAATAATCTGGTGCTGTGTAGAACCAAGGCGATGAAAGGATTTAAATATTCTCAGGTATAGTGTAAGGCAGAGGGCAGCTTCCTCAGTCTCAAGAGATGCTGTCCAAGGTGGTGTGTGTGTGTACTATACCAGCATCAAGATAAGAGGCTGGGTATAGCGGGGGAGGAACATTTGGTCGACTGGTTATCTCGGTGACATCCGGACCCCACACACACACACACACACACACACACACCACCTAGGATTATCACACATTCAAAACAGCTGGTGTGGTGAAAACATTTTGTAACCGACCCACTGAAACTCAACTCTGGTACGATGATGATAACCAAGTGACTTACAGGACTCACTTACCTTATCCTATGTCGAGTTCCTCTTAGTTATTGTTAAAAGAGAAATAGGGAGCATTGAACCTAAGACCTGATTTATTGAGACTTAGTGATTAGCCTCAACACGGGACAGTATTTTAGGTCTTACCAAGTCCTTCTGTTTCAATGTTATTTGTTGATGTCACGTCATAACTCCTTCAGTAATGTGTGTGTGTGTGTGTGTGTGTGTGAGAGAATTTTTTTATCCTTGGCGTAGTTTGACCTTTGACTGGGTTAATAAGTGAAGGCGAGGTGATGTTGGGGTTATGTGTGGGTAGGTTAGGGCAAGACGTGTATATCTGGCCCTTATACTGACTTACACACGACCCTTATACCTGACTCATGCCTCTTTCTTATACCTGACTCATGCCTCGCCCTTATACCTGAATCCCACATTCCCCTTATACCTGACTCATACCTCCCCCTTATACCTGGCTCTCACCTCACCCTTGACCCTTCCACATGTTTTATAGCCCCACGACAGCTCTGGCTGGTGTCAGAAAATCATTATTCTATCTCTGGCTCAGTTTAACCCCTCGAGTACGATGACTTGACCTCCCGAGTACAGTCTAATCTAACTCGAGGGATTTGGTCAGTGTACTCGGTGATAGTGAAGGGTTTAAGAAGACCTTGTACTCTCAGGGTTGACTTCGTACTCAAGGGGTAAAGATAACTCGCGAACTGGGCACTAGTCCGAGAGAGAGAGAGAGAATTTTTTCGGTTGTCACATGCGGGGGGATGGCAGCCATAAGATCGTATCGTTGTTCCTTCCTTTTATCTCCTCGGTCCGGACGGAGGAGCTTTGACAGTCTTTGTGTGTGTGTGCGCTTCCGTGACTGTGTATGTGTTGCTCGCTATAGAGTTGTTTTATTTAGACCAGGTGAATATAATAATTACACAGGTGAACATGTGATACCTCGACGCCAGTTCCTCCGCCCCTCTCCCCCACCCCCACAGAGGCCAGGAAGCCGTACAAGACAGTGGGAATAACAGTACATCTATTGATAATATTAATACTTTGTTTACATATCGTATCAGTGGACTCGGTATAAATATCCTGTCATAGCTTAAGCTTGTTGTTCAGTTTGTTTGTTTCATCACGTCATCTTGTTTATCCTCTCAACCACGACGGGGGGGTTATAGCGGTCGATGTAGTTTGTTTGTTCTGAATATGTTAACTACGATGTCGGTTTTGAATTGTTGGTCGATTTTTAAGCTAGTTGGTATGGATGATGTGTGGAGGTATGTGTCATAGAGATGTGTGGAGGTATGTGTCATAGAGATGTGTGGAGGTATGTGTCATAGAGATGTGTGGAGGTATGTGTCATAGAGATGTGTGAAGGTATGTGTCATAGAGATGTGTGGAGGTATGTGTCATAGAGATGTGTGGAGGTATGTGTCATAGAGATGTGTGGAGGTATGTGTCATAGAGATGTGTGGAGGTATGTGTCATAGAGATGTGTCGTGCGGAGATGTGGGTGGAGGTGACGGTTGTGTGGTTCCTCCGCTTGGTGTATCGTGTCTGGCTGTAGTGTGTCTTGAGTGACAGTGTAGGCGGTTCATATACACTAGGGCATCACTTGTCACCACACACACACACAGTCAGGATACCCACACACAGTCAGACACCCCACACAGTCACACCCCCCACACACACAGTCAGACACCCCACACACACAGTCAGACACCCCCCCACATACAGTCAGAACCCTCTCTACAGACTGCTCAGTTTCCCCAGTCGTCATTGTGTGGGGTAGCTCAGGCGATACGAGAGCTTCACACCCACTGAGTTAATCTGCTAATTCCCACAGGTCTTGTACACACACTACATAAAAACAAGTGTTACTCTTAAGTACTACAGTGTTAGGGAGAATATTCCGGCCCCCAACATGAGTGGAGGAAAGTATATGGTTGAGTGAGTGTCTGGGATCAGTAACACGAATGTATCTACCAAGTTGTTCTTTGAGGATAACAAATGATAAATAGTATAGGAACAGGTTGCGATGGTGTGTGTGTGTGTGTGTGTGTGTGTGTGTGTGTGTGTGTGTGTGTGTGTGTTTTATCACTATATATACAAAAGGTGAAATAGGCTTGACGGGGAGGGGCAGGTCATTAGGGACATAAGACACAGCATCTGTACGGTATACTGAGCCTAAAGGTACAAAAGGGAGGCACTGTACACGACCACCTTAAAGTAGCTTCCTGAACCCTTAATTTAGACACCCATATACAGCCGTGAGTCTCCTGGGAATGAGCACACCTCTCAGGGCAGGAGGGCGAGCATTGTGTGTGCTGTGATAAATGAGACCAGTTATTGAAAATGATCCTCGGAATAAGTGAATTAATAAAGTGTCCAGCTGTGCCTTGTGAGGTTAGGATATGTACACAGTAGTGGGTTAAAAAGTGGAATAGCTTGTAGGCTGTCAGTATGAGGGTCTCCGTGAGCTTATAGCCAAGGCCAGCCAGTCGTGTTGGTGCTGAGAGGAATCTGACGTCCCCAGTGGTGGTGGTGTCTGCTCTTGGCTCTGCTCACTTCATTGACCTCCGTATAATATGGAGTACAGTCCAGTCTTCCTTTAACCTGGCGTCGTGTTGTGTGATGCAAATCCAACAACCTCCTCCCTGCATTACTCTCTCAACGTGACCACTATTTTCGCATCCATCCGTCCGTGATTGTACGTACAGGTGTCAGTTTTTACATTTACCTGATTGATTTAATTGATTTTATCCCATGGAAACTAAACACTATAGTAGTTTGGGTCAACATATTTTCTTTGCTATTTGGGCTGAGTGGGTCATGTTTCTTGGTGGTGTATCAGTTAATATAAAATAACGGAAGGCACAGGTAGTGAACCCCAGGACCCCTCCCCACATAGTCAGGACCCCTCCCCACATAGTCAGGACCCCTCCCCACATAGTCAGGACCTCCCCACACACACACAATCAGGACACGGGAGGAAACACGCACTAGGCGGAGTTTACTGTACACTCAGGTTATAAAACTTGCTTGTTTTTCTTCTTCACATCTTTGTCACATACTAGTGTGGTGTTAAGAGTTGCGCACTTGGCACCTTCTGGACACGTACAACCTCTTGCCTCTATCTCGATGTGTGCCAGGTTAATGTACAGTCAACTACTAAAGTCCGTTTGTCTCTCCCCCTCTGAAACAGGACCCCCCGAGATTCAAACTAAAGAATCCGAAGCCTTTGTAGACTGAATAATGTATCAGTACTGCTTCGGGTTCATGAGTCAGATTATCTCGGCGGTTCATAGTTCAGAGGGAGAGAGACGAACGGAACGGACTTCAGTAGTTGACCGTCTAACGTTCACACTTGCCGTCACAACACTGGCAGGTAGACTACTGCAGCGAGTCACAGCAAGGATTTTCTTATTGTTTACTTGTCTGGTCTTGTGTACGTCTCTCTTGCTCTTGTGTACGACCCTGGGAAGCAATAATCGTGTTTGTCTTACCTTGAGTGGTCTGCCATAGAACATAAGTTGAAACACTGGCAATTTAACAACACAGTTCTCAACCCCTAACATGCTTCCCCTGTGTGTGTGTGGATGGCTGTCATTATATCTCTATTGGACACACACACACACACACACACACACACACACACACACAGCCTCTCAAAATAACACCCGAAAAGAGTATTGCAGGGATAAGGAAAACGAAAAATATACCCAAGCAGCGTTAGTTCGACTGTTTTGTACATTACTGCACACAACAGTAAACACAGCCTTTAAGGAGGATTCACTCGGGGGTGAGGGTAGAAACTTGTAAAAATATGATATGTTGACACACAACATTGTCTTAAACAGTGAAGCTCCGCTGGTTCGATTCCCAGCTGGAGTGGGTTTGTCCTCTGTCAACCAGCCTTGTCATACACAATATAATTAGTCCGCTTGGATGCCCTTGCTGGTGGTGGAACAAACCCTGGGTGGACGACCAAGGGGGGGGGGGGAGATAACTCACTACTGATCAGCGTCTGGCCGGGCACTTAATGAGACTAATGCAGTATGTTAAAGAACCAGGATAACAACATTTAAGGGTATTATTATTATTGATATAAATGAGAGTATGTGATGAACAGCGGCACTAACATGTTACTTACTCCCCACACGCTGTAGGTAAACACTGAGACACGTTCAAGATAGATAGTTAAAGGG